CCTTGTACGGAGTGATGATGGAGTCACATGGAGTTTCATCATAGCTTCCGAGCCGTTCCCTTCCAGGAAAAGCCATCGCAATGTTATATTTTCTGGCAGGTTGTTATACATCGTGAGCATGCGGCTTCAACAGTGTGGGTGTGTGTATCAATTTGTTAGGCTTCCAGTGTGTCAGAAAATCCTCTTGCAGTCCTTTTCTTGGTTTCCTCTTAATGAGGACGGCCAGCCCAGGCGGTTTGCATTGGCTTTCAATTTACTGGAGCTCTGACTGTGCATGGGGAGGGTGGGCAGCAGATTGTATTCTCATACTGTCATCGCAGAGGGGGTTGGATCAGTGGGAAACAAAAAATAATATTTTCAGTATTCGCCTGAAGAAGTTGCTGTGAAAAGGATTAGGTCTGAACAATATCAGGAGAGATGGGAAATGAAACAACTTTTTTCCCACTATCAGCATAACCTGGGAAAAAAAACAAAACACAAAACCTGAGGGTATAATCCTAAGGTATATTCTTAAGGTTCACAGCTGTCGACTGACTGTCTAAGCAACTGTAAACCTAAAAAGTGTTAATGTACTCTGTCACCAATGAAAAAAAATCTTGTTCAAATATGTTTTAATCATTTAATAGATTTTCAAATTTTGTGCAAAAGGAATACATTTTGACTCAACCTTATTTACAGTATATTATAATATTTGCTTTGCTGTAGAACTGTAGTACAGCTTTACAGTACTTGATGTTTTTGTTTCAAAGAGCAGTATGCTGCTGGAGTTCTTATTTAGACCTGCACTGATCTCACTGTCTCCCCACAGACCAATAACAGAGAGGGTGCTTTCAGCAGCGGCTCATGAAAGTGCTCACATCATTTAAAGGTTGTCAAGGACAGCGAATTTGAGCAGACCATAATGTCGCCTTGTATCCGCAGGGAGTCCAGATGCCTTACACTGTGTGTTCTTGAAAATGCCTCTAAGCTCGTGCTGCCAACTACACGAGCTACAATACTCTGTGAAAACTAACAAGAAGGAAACACAGAAACGGCCTCTGAATGCTGGTTCCCAAGGGCTATGAAAAATTCACAGTGTACTTCCACAGTAGTGGCCGTAGCAGGCGGACAGCTGCTCGCTTGATTATTAGTTTCTCAATTATTTTGTTATTTTCCCTGTACACTGGATGGAAGGTGAATGGTTCTCAGCAAGTCATTATTTCCCCAAGGAGACTTGTGTTGGTTCTGCAACGATCTTCAGTAATACTGTCGATACGCACAGTATTTTCTTTACAGTCGTGGCTGTTTTCCTGCTCCATTGTCCTTCCAGCTGTCACCTGTGACTGTGCTGTGGAGAAATCCTTGTCACCTGTAGACAATAGCATAGTTATTAATACTCACTATTGGCAGGCTGGCCACAGCTGGAGTTTAGTGTTTCAAAACCAACATTTTATGGAGTGCCTTTTAGATTAAGATAAATATCCACCTTTTTCTTATTTATTTATTTGTTTAAAGCTTGTTTCTCTTTACTCCTCCATTGGGACTCCCCAGACTATTGGAGTCATTCATCATATTAGGAAAATGCCTCCTCCTAAAGGACTCTGTTCCAGGCTGTTTAAATGAGCCTCAATGAACGTTACAAGATGAAGCTGTATTTTTTTTTCTCTCCTCCATTTATTTATTTATCCCTGGTTATTCTTTACTCCCTTTGTAGCAATTGATTCACATTTTAAATCAGATAAATCATGATAAATTGTACTTCCTTAATATAGTATATATATATATATGTATATATATATAGTATATAAATATATGTATTTCTAAAACAGATTAGTAATTTGGACTTATGTCAAGAAAATTATTCAAATGTATAATATATGCAGTGTCACTCAGTAACATTCTGCTATTACATAGTATGAAGTAATTATATTTATGTAAATATTTAATAACACTGACTAATTAAGATCTGTTCAACATTTTTTTATGCCCCCCAAAAGAGTACTAAACATCTTGTTCAGGTTCAACAGCTTAATTATGAACAAAGGTACTGTATGAGCGCCACCTGCTTTGTATTGGAGTCAATTTCAGGTGCCTGTGTAACAGAGAGGAAGAAGAGAACAGCGGATGTATACGTTAACCTCACTGTGACACTAGAGCTGAAAATATCCCTCATATTTTTCTTTGACCTGAAAATGCTCGACTAGCTTGATTTATGCATTTCCTCTTCACTTCTTTTGTCTTATTCCTTTGCTTTTGATATTTAATAAGATCTTAATAAGAAACGACCAGCATCCTCTCTGTTCTGTTGTCCTCACTTCCATACTTTGCTGCTAGAAAACGTATGATAAAGAATGGCTTTGATTTGTTTGAGGAAATCATTTAAAATTCCAAAACAGTTTTCCCCAGATTTGTTTTTATTTAAGGTAAAGCAGCCATGACACCATTGACATGAAAAATATAAAGAAACATTCCTGTATATTTGTTCAGGGGCAGCTTTAAAGCATATTGGATTTGACAAAGCAGTGATGTCAGTGTTGTTTCACCGTTGGAGTTTCTTATAGACTGTGAATGCAGCTGTGATCAGCAGACAGTTGTGTCTAACTTGGATTTGTAAAAGCTTGTCGACATAATGCTCACTGTTTGAAAGATAACACCTTTTATAGAATATGCATCAGTAGGCTTTTCGAACAAGCTGAGAGGAACGGTGTTGTTGACACATTTATATTTGTCCTTGTCCTGTAGGGTTTGAGCACAGATGTTAAGTTATATCCTATTACACTGACTGTTTTTTTCTGCGTTAAGTGCACATTCTGTGATTTTGACCTGGGATCTCAAACTTAAACAGGGTTGTCTGAGGACCACCAGTGCAGGATTTGAAACCCTGCTAGAGATATAGTGTTGGACACTTTTTTTTATGCCAACCATATCCAAGAGACTAACATTGTCCACTTAATGAGAGACGCTGACAGGAGCGAGGGGAACTAAATGATGTAGAGCGTAAAATGAATAAGCCTAAGGAGCGAGATGGATGAACTAAGGTCATAATTAAAGGGGCAGTTTATTCAAAAAGAGATAAATGGGACAGAAAAGAAAGAATGGGGGGAAAAGGAAATTCTTGACTTTGCAAAACCTGGGACTGTTGGCTGACTGAGGAGAAATCACAGTGTGGCAGTTATACCCTACTGTCCAGCTCTAGTGCTGCATTCTCAGGTGTATTTCAGGAATCCCAGTACCACTCTGTTCTTGACCTGACTTTGACTCACACGCTGGGTTCGAAAACGTATAAAGTGAATCATCCACTGCTCCATAATTATCTTCTTCATACCTCCCTGGTGTAAACGTTAAATAAACGCGCCTCTCTCCTAAAGGGCAATGGCAAACATCTGCCTAGTGTTGGGTCAGGAGTTGTGTTTTTTTAAATCTCCTAGGAAGGATAAGAAAATGTTGATTTAATTTATGTCTTCAATTCTGTTTAAAGGAAAAATATGCACTATTTCTTGCTCATTGTTAGTCTTGTCATGGTTAGACTTGAATACTCTAGTATTCCGCCCATAAGGGCTAAATACCTGGAGTCAGTTAGAACTACAGAAGGCTCTTGAATTGAAGGTGAAACCCAAACCAGTCCATCTTCCTGAGATGTTTCAGACATGATGATCTAATAAAAGAATCACTTTCTATAAAATATAAACCTTGTTTTTTTAATATAGAAAACTGTAAATCTATTGATGAACAATATTTTTACTGTGAAATTTAGCCATACAAATAAAATATACTTGACCCGTCCAGATGTGATTTGACTTGACTTGACTTCGGACAGGCATGTCTGAGCCAGCACCCAATCATCACGTCCTTCAAATTACCTTTCAAGTGTGTTTTGCCACAGAGATGGTCATATCGTATTAAATATCTATTACAGGCTCGTCTTGAATGATTCTTTGTAACAGAAGAATACTCTCAACTGCTGCTCGCTGCCCAGGAATAAACCACATTTCCTGCGTGCAGGACTGAAGCCTTTTGAAGGAGACAGATGCTGCTGTCTGAGCTCCTGTTGATAATGTGTCCTGAGTGCCAACAGCTGGCACAGTCACTGCTTAGGAAAACTCACATGATTGAAACGCCACTCTGTTGTTTTGCACTTGTACTTATTATTCACAGTGAAGTTGATGATGCTGGGCTACAGCCATATGTTCATCCATTCCATTATTACCAAAGTATAATATATAATGATCAGTCCATCTGCTTCGCATCAGACTAAAAAACTAGTGTTGATCAGTGGGATCAAAATGATAAAATGTTTTTTTACGATTATTTTTACTTCAAAAATAGAACCCCGGTGCATCTACAGTTTGTGTTGGTTGTTTTCCCCTGAGTGCTGTTGTTCATCTTTCATTACAGTTTCTCATAATGCAGAACAGGGTTATTTTTAAATCTCATAAATATGCTCAGTGCAGATCACATTACTTTGATATGCGGCCATGCTGATCTTCCTGTCTTCCTGCGTCATCAGATGAAAATGAATAACTTTGCCAGCTGTGATTATAGTTTTCCACAGGCACTGAACACTGAACCTTAGCACTCCTGGAAATGTCTTACTGTGCAGCCGAATTACAAAGAATCAGTGCAGGAACCATTGTTGTTTTACAGATCTGTCAGACATGAAACGATGCTACGTGGTATTTGATTAAAGCTGCAGTAGTGACAGCTCAGTGTTAACAACAGCTCTGAAGCACAGTATCTGAGAATTCACCAGGGGGCGCTCATTCAGAGAACGTCAGTCAAGACGGTAAACCGATACCTGGTTTGATTGAAGGAACTGCTTGTGTTCTTATTGGAGAAAAAATATATAGTGGAGCTGGAGCTATCCACACTGTCCTTCTTAACATAAATTTACTGTGCAGACTTTTGATACATGAGGGGACATTATGTTGCCATGACAAATCATTTCATATTCCTGTTAATCATTTAAGCCTGTCAAGGAATTACTGTAAGTCCCAAATATGTGGCAGTGAGTCAGAACATGCACAAGCCTTTTTATTTTGGTTTTTACAAATGATTAATTATCACTTCATTTGTTTAATGTCTGTTGAATAATTATTCATCTACAAATTAAATTTAAAAACAATTAAAATTGAATTTGACTGTTTTGTGATGTTGATGTCACACATCATAAAATAATATAATATTTATATATTTTTTCTATATACCCATACCCTATAGTCAGTATACTGCAGAGAATACACAAGCCTAGAAAACCACAGGGGAGATCTGCTTTTCACAGTGTTGGTGGAAGCACAAAGGTTGAGTTTCTTTCACATTTTGCTGGAAGGAGGAACTTGGATATTTTTAGCAAAATATTACAGAAAACTCTGATGTAAAGGCAGGACTGGAGCCACGAAGACAGTCTCTAAAGTTTCTATATCCCACCTCTAAGCAGGAAACACTTAGATATTCATACTTTGTGTCATTAGTATTTTCATACTATTGTTAAAAAGCCTAAATCTAATATTTTGGCGTATTAGTACCTTTCTTTAGAAACTAATAAAGCTGTACTCTGTAACGCATTGACCGTACTGTGGGTCACTCAGGTTAGCCACTAAGACACTGTGACCTAAATCTTACAATGTAAGTAAATGGTTGTACCATTCACTCCTTCTAATGATTTTGCTCTTGACCATAATGAACATCGGACATCTCTCCTGAGACAGACACAGGAAACTTGTGACAAGCTGAAGGACTAACTAAGAACCAAACACGTAGCCCATAACGTCCCCTGAGGTTCCTGGGACTCTTTAGTGGAGGCCAGACCAGGTGAACAGTCTGTAATTGTCATTCTGCTGCTCCCAGAGATGCACAGGAAGTTGTAGAAAATGGATGAAGGGAAGCACATGGCTTTGGTGTCTTTTGACTGACTGTGCCCTCAGGAGTCCTGCCCTTGATGCACCACTCCATGAGGCCGGGCAGTGGTCTGATTTGTCAGGGTGAGATGTACTGTAGAGATGGAGCAGAAAAGGAGGCGAAAAAGGTAAAGAAAGAAAAAAGATGACAGATGAAACAGAGCTGGGGTGAGCTGAGAGACAAAAGAAAGCAAGTAAAACACGTTTTTTCATAATATTCTGGATCCTTGCTTCACTCCCTATATTCTTACGACGGAAAGCAAGTAAAACACGTGGCTTTGAACTGGGAAACATTTTCTTTATACCTTCCCACATACACACGTACATCCTACACCATGACCTGTCAAAAAACCCTTAGACAAACTGACACAACAAAGCAAATTTAATCTATATACACTGCAAAACTTTGAATTTGTTTGTATTGAAAACCTCACTTTTTTCATAATATTCTGGATTCTTGCTTCACTCCCTATATTCTTACGACCTTAGTGAGGCTGCGGTGTGTCGGTCAATCCTCCGATCTCTTCACCACTAAGCCACAGGTTGAACTGAAAGCCTTTTTTTCTCAAACAAAAGAAACATTTGAAGTTTGTGAAATGTATAGCTTTTTTGTGTTTATGAAGAATCGGCTGCCGATCATTCACTGTCACAATATTTTTCACTTTTTGTGCAGCTCTTTTCACAGAGGTTCCACACGACATCACGACGCAGAGCGGAGAAGATGTAGAGATGGCTTGTTCCTTTAGGGGAGCGGGTTCTCCGTCACACGCCCTGGAGATCCAGTGGTGGTACATAAAGGACCGGCAGAAGGAATCATCTCAGATCACCAACAATGTGAGTTCGTATTAACGACTGAAAAGGTTGACACTGTTTACAAAATATTTAAATGTTGATATTTTTCAGATATACATATTTGTAATTTTCAAATTGGATAAAAAAGATGCTTTTGTGTATCAAAAAATTTGCTTTTACTAATAAATATTTTTTTAATCAGCACTATTTTTTCTTACTGGACTTTATTACAGAGCTACAGAGACTGTTTTACCATCAATATTGTAGTATTCTCTGCTGTACTTCTTTTCCATTTGTACATCACAAAATCTCACATGTAATAAGAAATACAACGTTAGCCATGGGAGAAACTCTCTGGCGCCCAAACAAAAGGATAATTACTGATTAGCATTTTTTCAGCAGTGGAGAAACAGGTTGACTCTCCCGTCATAGGGGAACTCTGACTCCCCTGTTGTGTCTACAGACAATGTAATTGGCACTGAGAGAGAAATAGATTTTCAAACTCTGTCTGCTCCATGCATAATTCATACCAATGCCCAGAAGAATACCTCGGTGTCTCTGCATCGCTTCCAGTTTACTGGTTCATAGGCTCGTGCTTCTTTCATAAATCTAATGTACTGTACATATGCACACAAAGCTCCTGGTGGTGGGACGAGTGTACCACAGGTTATGATGGTTAGTAAGTAAAGGAAAGATACAATTTTTTACAAACCCATACAAGTATGAGTATTTTTATTTGTGTACTTGCCGATAGTTTGTATCCATACTTCCTTTAAACTGCTGACCTACTTATACAAAATACGTAAAAAAAATACGCTGTCACAGTGACACGTATTCTAGTACGAGTATTTGAATGAAGTATCAGGCCTGACATCAATACTACATGTTGATTAACTGTAGTTCACAGCTGTTTACTTTGTTTCTGTGCAGGTTGTGCCCGAGGAGGAGAGATCCAACAGAGCTACCAAAATAAGTGTAAGTTTGAAGTTTGACAGACCAATACCCGTCCGCAAACCAGTGGTTTGGAAACCCTGACTTAGAAAATTACATAGAAGATTTGAAACCATCAGATAAACTGGTTGAACTCCTAAAGTTAACCCTGTTTTCAACCTTCAGGTTGTAAAAGTGGCCGGCAGCAACATCTCCCACAAGCTCCGTCTGTCCAGTGTCAGGACGTCAGACGAGGGCACGTACGAATGTCGTGTCATCGACTACAGCAGCACCGTGGTGAAGGACCACCGTGTCCGCGCGTACCTCCACGTGGAGCCGAAGAGAGGTCACGAGTTGGACGTCATTAGTCTGCAGGAACATCAAGAACATCAGTCGATTCCGCAGCGTGACACAGGGGTCCAAAAACTGAAGAGAAGATCGAGCGAGAGCATCACTGACTGTAATGACAGCTGCGTACTGTAGAGGGTCCAGTCTCCTTATCTTTTTTCTCTCTGTATGTCTGCATGGTGAAGGGACAGGAATTAACAAACCCATCGTGGCAGAGCCGAGCCATTTACTGCACCTGGAGCCTGTGTTTCTCCTCATTTGTTGCCCTGTCCTGCCGTGCTGTTGATGCTAACACGGGGCAGAATTTTATCAAAACTTACTGCACATTATTTCGTTTTTCTGTTTGTCCCTGTGCTTTACCTTGTTGTAATATATTTTTGTATAGTGACAGCTATGCTATAACAAAGCAGGTTAATTCTGTTTGTCTGGCTCACACATCCTTTATTGACCAAACACCCAAAACATGCAGTAAATGGCTGAGTGGACAGTCAGGCTTGTTATGGCTGTCATCATTTACAGCCTGAACCCACTGATCCAGACCGCCGGTGTCCACTCTGTTGTTTTTACATCTTCACTAAAAGTTGTAGCATTTTAATGTGAATGCTTCTAAGGGTTTTTTTTTTATTTCTGACAAACTCCCAAATATCTTATGTCTGTAAATGAAAACATGTCAATCACATTTCCAGCAAAATTGAAAGTGAAAATACACAAATACAGAATTAGAACGAGATCATTAGTTAATAGTTTCTGCATTTTTTGAAGCGCACACCAACTTTCCAGTGATGCTGTTCGCACACGTGCTACTGACGAGTTTGATGTTGACGCTGTCGCCTGTTTTGTATATTCTGCCTCTGCACCGTAAAATTTTTACTCTGCACGACTAAACCAAATGACTCTACAGTCACAGTTATGGATTGTTTACGTTGTCAGTCATTTTGTCGTCATCACCTCACCAACTGTTATGTATATATAAATATGTAATTTTTGACATGTTACATGACTTTTTTTTGTTCCCACAAATGCTACTACAGTATTTATCTGTACATTAATTTGAAATACTTTGGTCTTTGTATTGTTTTGCCATCTTACGTTGAAGTTTAAAGTTGTTGTAGTTCTGAAATCAAGTTGAGACGGTTTGGACATTGTAATAAAATTTAAATTATTGAAATAACAAGTTTTACAGTGGTTGTCATTTTTTTGTTTGTATGTTCATCTATAAAGTGAGATGTAGTATCTTTGCCAATATAATAAAAATAAATAAGCTTTATATCAAAACCTTTAATAAAAGTTAGTAACTATGACTATTATAATTATTCAAAAAGGCTGATTTTACTACAGCATTTGTTTCTGAACTGTGACACAGCTTTGACACATGAACACTGCAATAGAGCTGATATATTCACAATAAACTATAGCCCTTAATTTAAAATTCAAATGCAGGAGTTGACATGCTGCAGTGTTGCAAACTAACACGATAAATGGTTTTGTTAGTTATAAACTTTTTTTTTCAATAAATGAAAACTAAATTCAGATGTTACTTTTAAAGTATTTCAAAGCCCAATATAGCTGTCTCTCCTGAGTAATCAGTGTCATCACACTCACCTGTTCCCTGTGATCACCTGTTCGTCATCTTCTAACCTGGAGCCCTGGGTATAAATGCCTGCCCCTCACTCTGCCCTGGTTGGGCACTTGGGATTGTTGAATGCAGTTTGGGGTAATTGCATGGTTTTTCTGCTTGTGATTTTCTTGCATGTGATATTTCTGGTTGTTGCCCCTGCTAGCTTACTTCTGGTTGTTGTTCTTGATTATTGTTGTTGTTGTTTTCTGCCTGTTCCTTTGTTCTCCTGTAGATTGCCTCCTGATTTAGGTTTGAACTTAAATAAACTGTCTGCAAATGATCATGTCTCTCAAGTGTTGCATTTGGCTCCTTCTTGTTTTCTGATTCCTCACCTCATGTGACGTGTGTGTGTATTATCTTATCGATGTTTGAGTTTAATCTGTATGAGAAAGTTTAAGTTGACTTAAAATGTGAAGTCGGCGGTAAAGTAACGTCCAACTGTTCACCTCGTTCTATCCTGCATAGGTCGTTCTGCATGGACCAAAATAATATATTTTTGTTGCTCTTAAAAACATATACACTTTCTGACCAGAAGATGGCAGCACATGCCCGATTGCTCAGCTTACCGCGTGAAACTTCCGCTGCACGAATGCTCGTACTGTTGTATGATAACACAAAAATGTTCATGTTAAAATGTTTGTCAGCTCTGTATTTTTGAACTAATCTAAAGGTTTTTTAACCAAACATTTGCTGCAGGTCAGTGTTCACAACAGAGAAAACCTATATATTTATATCCGTTTGTTTCATTAAAGACGGTGGGTTTAACATTAATAGTTATTAGTTAACTGGTTTATAGAAGTAATGGTTGAGACATTCTCTCGATTTGTCAAATTATATTGTACATAGGAAATATCAGGAAAACAACTTTTTGGGCAATTCATTTCATCACCATTTATTGACAGCGTCTAATAATAAAAATAGAAAGGGACCCGATTCAAACAGAGTATTAGATGGAAAGTTTCGCTTAAATTGTGCAAAAAAGCATGCCTTGCATAATGTCTGAAGATGAATGAAAGATTTAAAAACAAAAGCTGCGGTGAGTACAGAACAGATCGGCCCACAGCTGGGTCAGCCTATTTACCAATGATTACATTTCTGTAGCCTTTGACGTGACATAACTTGCTGCTGTTGAAGTCGACCACCAGCTTTCTCAGTCCACTGTGGGTGGGAGTGAAGTAAATCTTCACCTTAGCGTCCTCTCCTGGTCCAACTGAGCAGTTCAGTCTGTGGGATGAATGGTTTTAAAACATTACGTTTATGACACAAACACATGTGCACATAAGGTTGTAAAAAAATATTTGAACAGCAGAGTATCACAGACGGAGACATGTATGACTACTTATGGACAGGGAGTAGACGGATGTTTAACCTACTCAGACTCGAGGGAGTAAAATTCAATATAATAAAAATGTTGATGTTTATCTGGCCAAGCCTTAGGACAATTTGTTTTCACCATGTATAGTTACATTGCAGTTAAAAAAAAAATCTTTGCTTTGCCTAAAACAAAGAGGATCAGGGTATTGTTCATGTAATGGATTTTTTAGTGCATTTTTTATTTGTAGTACTTCAGCTTCTACAAATACTTGCTGTATTTGTAGAGAAGGGATAATTGGACTAAAAGCTAATTTGGTCAAAACAGTCCACTTTATTTGCTCTGAGTTTGACTTGGAAAAAAGTTTCGGGGTGAAATATGTGCTGTACAAGTTTACTTCAGGGCTACGGTCGATTGAGACCCTCGTACCTCTCAGAGATGATGTTTCCCCCGGTCAGGTTGGAACCCTCGATGCTGAAGCAGCAGTTCTCCAGAGACTCAGGCAGTGGGTTTTTCAGTGTAATCTCTGCAGCAAGTTTCCGTTTTACCTTTGGTTCACCCAGGATCTGCAGAGAACGAACATCTGAAGGTGTTAGTCGATGAATCGCTCTGAAACAGAGCAGCTGAGCACAAACCAAACCCTGTACTGTGGAACAATCAACCACTGGGGGCTGATAATGGATATTTTGTGTACTTTCCAAATATTTAATAAGTAAGATAATATGTTTGTATATTTAATAAGTAGGGTTGTCCGTTATTAACTTTTGGCCGATATCTGATATGCAGACATTGTCCAAACAAACAAACACATTTCTGATTCTAATATCACCCAATACCGATATAGGCCTTATAATATTTATTTATCTGTACAAACCAATGTATGAGTATGAGATGAAATAAATGAACTGCAATGCTGCCATCTAGTGACTTTTACTTTAAAATACAGCCATTTATCCCCAAAACTAATTTCAGGGCACACCTCATATGGCGCACTCAAGCATTGTGTTATCAGGTTTTCATTAGAACTCAAGCATTGTGTTTTCAGGTTTTCATTATTGGTGGAAAAACTGATAACAATTTATTTATATACAATATTATTTACGAAACTACTTACCGTGACTTTGATTTGGGGATCTTCCAGCACAATATTTCTCACTGCAAGTGTTGTCTTTCCACTGGAGTAGTCCCACAACATGGCAGCCAAACGAATTGCATTGTCTGAAGTGAGTTGTTCGCTGTACTTGGAATAGTTGAGTCTGAGTGGAACCTTTCTCCCTGAGAGGACAGGACGTAAAATGACATAAAGGAATGTTTTATAAATATATATAAGAAAGAAGTTTGACAAACCAAAGTTAACCTATTAATCGACTAAAACCTGACTAATCATAGAGTTGCTGTGGATTAAGCACTTTTTTTTTTTTGTGATTTTATTTCATCCAATTTGAGTGGCCCTCCGACAAATATAGTCTGTGACCCGTGGTTTGAAGCACTGATGTTGGTGTCTGACTCTCGGTCTCACCTTCTCCTGGGGAGAGTTCCACGTTGAGAAGATCTTTATATCCACAGTTCCCTCCCAGATTGCCATTGTAGGACACAGCGCAGGCGCTCAACAACAGGCGGTACTTCTTGTCACTGTGGGTGTTGTTAGTAACTACGGCGAACACGTCGAAGTCGCAGCCCTTCCTCATGTCTTCAGACACCTTGATGGTGATGAGCTGATCTTGATTCAGTTGTTGATGGTGCAGCTTGTTTTGGTGGTTGGCCTTTTTGAAAGCCTTCCGCTCCTCATCAGAACCTTAGGGAATGAGGGATTACAGAATGTCAGTATACTATAGAGTCTGTTAGTCGTTCTAAATGGAGTTCACCTGTTCTTCCTGTGGGTGTTACCTTTCCTCTGAGATGCTACGGTTTTCTCTCACAGTCCAAAAACAGGTAGTTCAGATAAATCATCCAGTCAGGGCTCTCAAAGTGCTTTTAACTAGGGATGTCCGATATTAACTTTGTGCCGATATGCCAATATTGTCCAAACTTAATTTACGATTCCCATATCTACCGATACCGATATAACGGGGCAGTGGTGGCCTGGTGGTTAAGGAAGTTAAGTGCAGCCTGCTCACTAAGGTGATTGGTTAAACAATGTTTCTCAATTATTTTCCGCTATGCCCCCCCACGGGACAAATGTCTTTCCACCCCCCCACCTGGATTTAAATATTATTGAATGCCTTGTAATATTTATGTATTCATCTGTACAAACCACTGTATGAGTTGCTGGTATCAGCATTCTGCACACAATCAACTGATTATTAAAATAGATTAATCAAATGAGCTGCACTGCTGCCATCTAGTGACTTTCACTTATATTTACACCCATTTTTCCTCAAAACTATTTGATAAAAACCAGGCATTGCGTTATCGGGTTTTCATCACTGGAAGAGTGATTAGGCCGGTATTATCGGTCATCACTACTTCAAACTCCAACAAGTGCGCCTCCTGCAGGTCAGGAGGCACACCGGAGGATGTGGATTTATTTTTACTCAGACTGGTTTTATGGTGCATCTGTGATGGGGGCGCTGTTTTTTTTAAATCTACCTTCAGGATATTTGTACAGATGGGTGACATCCTCTCTGGCATCGCTGCCCACACTCTTGGTGCTGATCTTTTGTCCGACCAGTGAAGTGGTGGTGACACGGGATGTGCTCCCATCTTTCTCCTTCTTGAAGGTGAGGACATCCGCGTTGACCTCCGCAAAGACAAACACTGCGTCATAATTAAACGTGAGCTCTCCCTCCTTGATGGCTTTGACAGGGACGGGGCCACAGCAGTACACTCCTGACGGAGACATTAAATCAATGTTAGATGAAGTTTTATCAACTGGTACTCGGTGGATCCTTCGAGTGTTTTTCACAGTACCATCACTTTTCTCCTGGGGTGTTGGGTCACTGGCCTGCCAGCCATTAAAGCCAGGCTTGAGGTCAGGTCGGGTCATCCAGCTCTCCACCCAGCAGTGATAGTTCCTACAGACATTAAACACAATGGTTATTGTCTTGTTCCTTGGTTTTAGTGAGCTAAGGGCAGATGACTTGTCTGCTTCCTCGTTCATCATCCTACACATGACACACGTCTTACGTTAACATTTCCTCCTGAAACTCACCAGACCATGTCTCTGGATTGCATGAGTTCTCCCTTTTCATTGACAAACCGTTCAATCACCAGGTTATTGTTGGTGTCGTGGGCTGACAGGTAGTTGGTGATCACGCGGCAGGGAATGCCAAGAGCTCTGGAAACTGACAGGAAATAGAAATCCAGGCGATGGATTCAGTGATACTCTGAGGCATGTTGGTCTTTGTGCTGTGCATGGAGTACATGGTATATGTTACTGAAAGGTCAAATCAAAGTCAGTGATAGGCTCTCACCTGTGCAGGCGACTGCGGCAAACACCCAGCACTGTCCGTAACGCACAGGCTCACAGGATTGTGCATCCCAGTTGCGCAGGATCTCCACACTCCCCCTCCAGGACAGGGGGCTCACACCTCCTTCATAATCATTTTTCCAATTCCCCAGCAACACCCCCTTGTCATCATTACAATTGATCTGAAAATCAAAACAACAGGTTGTCGGCCATCATTTACGCAGGCACCGAGAACTGTTTCTTTTAGCGCACACACAGAAACACCATAACACTCACCATAGCACTTAGAACTCTGGACACATAGATGGGGTTCCTCCTGCCAGAGCAGTCTTTACCTGGGTTTCTTTGATATTTTGGATTCATGTCCAGAATCCTCAGACAGACATCAAGGATCCCACTTTCAAACTAAAAAAAAAAAAGAAAAATTCCATCTTAGCTCTTCATCAACTGGTCAACATGTCCTGAATTACTTCAAAACTATTACCTTGCAGTGTTATCTAATTAAACACCTTTCATTAAAACATGTTTATTCTTTCAAAACAAAGTTAATTCAATTTCAAATCAGTGCAATTTGTTCATTGTGGCACAAATATATTAAATATATCACACAGTGATAAAAAAATTGTTTCCCTTACTGGCAGCCACTAATCTTCCCACTTTATCAAAAGCAGGCACTTGAGATAAAGTAAGTAAAGTAAACACATCATCATTACCCATTTGATAAGTGGTTATTGACTTTAATCAGAAAATACACACTTCAAGCTCCGACACTCAGGCTAACAGTTGGCATGTGTGCCGTGGTGTGAGCTGTGTTGGTACCTGGCCAAAGTTCCAGGGAGAAGGTACTGTGTAATTGTGATCGCCACGAAAGATGATTCCATCTTGAGACATGATGTATTCTTCCAAACTGGTCTCATCGTCCAGGTAGACTGCATCACCTACGATCGTGAAACAGCACAGACACAGAGCAGTGAAGAGGAGCACAGCATTAGTCAGAGTGAAATGTTCTGCCATCAAAAATCTATAAGTAAAGTCATTGTTCCAATCAAAGTTATTTACGTTTCTATCTATAGTATTCTAGTCCACACGTGTCAAACTCAAGGCCTGCGGGCCAAATGCAGGCCATCAAGTCACTTCATGTGGCCCACAGGAACATTTATTAATACGATTAAAGTAATGACATTTATTCAGTCTTCCAGTTACGAGGGGAACTGTATTGCTGATGCTGATGGAATAAATTTGACACCCCATTCAAATGTATTTTATTTATTATTTTAGTTTACTTTAGTCCTGTTTATTTTTTTATTTTAGTCTATTTTTTTTAAATATTCCAGTTCAGCTTTTGTATTAGTCTTGTCCAGTGTATTCTCCCTCTGGTATTAAAAACCAACTCTCAGAGCATTCTGGAATATATGATCTGTACACATGATCGCGCTGCATGACAACTTGACGTATGGTGTATGGTGTGAACTTACCTGCACACCAAGGGTTAAAGAGCAGGATGAACTCGATCCGTGCTGACGGGCCCAGGGTCAGGGTGTAGCGGCCTATAGGAGCATCGGGGGCGGAGCAGATGCACAGAGCCACCGTGTCTCCACAGGGACTGCTGCTGACTGCAGCACTCCAACAAGAAGTGTCAATGCTGTCAGACAGACCAAATACGGCTCTGGTGCCATACTGTTCAGAGGGCTGAGGACCTGTGTGTGACAGAGGATGTTAAACAGTGGAACCATGACTTAATGAATAAGCTAATTGATGTTTCCAAGTAACTTGACTTCTGGGCTTAATGAATAAGCTAATAGATGTTTCCAAGTAACTTGACTTCTGGGAAAATGGAGAATCCCCCTCTGCCCCCCCACCCCCACTATGCTCCATTTAGAACAACTACAGTATCTAAGGAATGTCCCTCTGATCTGGCAGCATCTCTGTGAAATTTAATCTAATAGACATGAAAAACTAACAAACTTTTAAAACTATTTGGCTTCGGTGAACTTTGAAGTTACCTAAACTGTGATTAACATTTCCAGAAATGATGACTGATCACTTTCTTCTCACTGGGTGGCCTTAAATAATCCCACTCCCACCCATTAAAAAAAAAAACTCCTTGACTTTGAAAGGCTGGTTATGTTATCTGAATTGTTCACATGGCTTCCTATTGGCAAGCAGCATTTCCTGTCTGAGCAGAAGGCAGAAAGAAGAAACAGTCGCCGTATCGCATTCAGTATGACAAGTTTAGCCAAATATTCCACTGTATGTTATGATTTCTCCTATGCTGATGACAAGGTATCAGAGGTCTTCCAACAAATACAGCAAAAACCAAGTTACAGCAGCAAAGGATTCAATGAAAACAATGGAAACGACAACACAGTGTCCCACATGAGTGTCAATGTGTTGAGGTGACTGCATGATGGAATATCATAATATTCCAGCTTTTCATCCCTCCTTCCCTTCAGCGGACAACCTTCATGTAGCTCACGGTGTTTTGTCAATCCGGTGTTGGATTGTTTTCACATATTGTGCTTATCACTTCTTTTTAACTCAACAATTCCAGCAATGTCCCTTGCTCTAAAATCCCCAGTATCTCCAAACAATTAGCAGATGAGAACTGCCGGTGAGAAATGATTTTCTCTCACGAATCACAGAAGAACTACCTGTCTCAGCGGTCAGGTCCAGTTTGCTGACCCCTGGCTGGAAGCTGCCAGAGCGCAGATACAGGCTGATGGAGAACGGTTGGCCTCTTCTCAGGATCAACCGATCTACACCGTTCAGATCAGTGCGATGGTCGGTGTTGTTGATGTCGCACTCCAGATCACAGCGATCGATGTCCAGAACTGTGGACCAGAGATAGAGAAACACTGGTCAGGATTATAAATGAATTCTGTGGAAAATGTTAAAAAGCAAAAAAGTAGCAAACATGATACAGGTGGTTTTAAAGGGTTAACACTGGGTCCTTTTGGATGACAGGATGACAGGTGACAGTCCACCACTGTCTCCAGTCTGAGACACTGAGTCACTGATTAACTCATAGGTCAATGTGATGAAAGAACCTGGAACCGATGTAGAAATTCATGTTGAAACAAATGAATTTCCATTCAAACAATGAAACTTTGTGTTGGTTTTAGAAGGTTGTCAGTACTCTACTATTGGTAGTCGTAGTAGTAGGATTTCACCTGTCGCTACTGTGAAAGTGTATTTAAATATTCCCTTGCCCTGGTGGTCTTTTCTGGTAAGATGACGACGTGTCACAAAGCCTTCACTGTGAACTCAACAAAAGGTCAATGTATAAACATTGCAGGAGGACTTACATTATTTCACTTCATTATAATGTGTGCAAACATGGTGCTCCCCATCCCCCCACTCTGCTGAGAATATCCCACCCTCCTATTAGGTGAAGTGTCAGAGTCACAGCTGTGGGCGAGGCCTGAGTAAACACAGACATGAGCCGCAAACACATCCTGCTGCTTTACGTGGAGACTGGAGAGAATTAAAGCTTGACTTCTCTGATGTTCTACTGATGTTTAGCTGACGTCAACCTCAGGTCACTGCCGACATGAACACACAGCTGGTGTGGCTAATCCAGACAGATGCCTTTAGGTTGATGACAATGCTGCCTCTGGGGTAGAACTGTTCAGTCAACAATAAAAGCCCATGAAACTTAAAACTAATTAAAATAAATTAAAAAGGAATATCTACTAAATAACTTATATAAAGACAGAAGATAAGTAGCTACAAATTAGCCAACGGCTGTGAGAACATTAACTGTAAATCCTGTCAAACGTATTAACAAAAGGTTTTTCAAACTACATAGCTAACTAGTTTTGAACCTAGCTAAACATAGCTACCTAGCTAACCGAAAGCTGAAGGAAATGCTAAATGTCAGCCCAAATATTCCCCTTAAAGTTGCTAACACATGCCACATGGACCACATGGTGGAGGAGTGGCTAGTACTCTTACCTCACAGCAAGAGGTAACTGAAGTTCTATCTGAAGGAACTTTACCGTGCACGGCCTCTGGGTGAGAGAGTTTTCTCAGGTTTCATACCATTGTCCCAAAACTTCCAGGATTAAAAGGATTAAGTTAAGAATTAAAATGAATTTTGAAAGTAAAAATGCAGCTGACTTTAAGGAAGTTAAGGATTAAAATTAATTTTGAAAGTAAAAATGCAGCTGACTTTTTAAGGAAATATTTCAGAGAAGCAGAACGTCCCTATTGAATTTCTGTTCTGTTTAGTTTTAAAAGCGCCGCAGCCTTGTATAGCAAATAAAACAGATGCCCAGCTGAAAACAATGGAAAAACAATCAGGATGATTAATAACACATGAAAATCTGGGACGTAGAACTCAATTAAATAGAGTGATGATGTAACCATGGTCTGACCTCATCTTCCTTGTAATTATTTTGGGGGGCCCGACCGCGGTTACAGTAAATGATGCCTTTAGCGTAGCACGTTGTTAGCGACGATGCTCCGAGGCTTCACCAGATGATGAACGTAAAGTGATGCCAAACTGGGTAAATACGTTTTATTGGCTTTCACTCTGTTTCTACACACTGTGATATCAAACACATCAGACCGAGGTCCCACGGCCGTGACCCTGAGCCACCTCCTCGGCTGAACCAACCACGACGTCTCTGACTGCACTGGTGAAGCATGAGCCCAGTTAGGTCAGCAAAACAAAATGCCACAAGTGTCAAAAGAGCCAGACCTGAACTCGGAAAATAAATAAACTGTATTTTAAGTTCCGCAGTGACAGCCTCGCTGCATTCATGGGCTCCGTCAAAGACCTGTACAGTTTACAGTCTACAGGACTCTTTCTTTAATGCAGTTTGTTTGTACAGTAACGTTACAGTAAAGTGATGGAGAGAAGAAGCCTGTTTTCAGCCTTACATAATAACAAAGACAGACTTGTTTCTCTGTAAATAACTGCACCTGCACTGTGTAGGGACTGTATTGCAATTTTGTTTTTTTGTTTTAAGTATTACTGAGTGCTTTCTTAATTCTAGTGCTGTCTAATTATTGCAATTTTGAATCTGGTTAATCACAGAGTAACTGTGAGTTAATCAAGATGAATTGTGATAAATCATGACTGTAATTCATCATGATGACCTGATCATCATCATCATTCCTGAATTTGTCAAAACAGTGCTCTCTGTTTAACACAACGAGAAAAAACATGCAGGTATGTGTTTAGAACAGTCCAGCCTGTCTCAGCCAAGAAATTGTTGTCTCTTAGTAAAAGCACGTATATACGTATTCCACGTATATTTTCTTTAATTATATTTTATTTGTATTTTGTGGCTAAAGTAAGACCTAAAAGACCTAAAAAATATTTTTGTCTTTTTAATTTTAACATGTTAAAAATGATTGCAGCTAAGTTGACAGTTAACGTTACAGTTTGGACGGTTCGGAGATGACAACACATTTGGACAAAGATCAATCGGATAAGTGGAGTTGGAGATGGAGCTGCCAGACAGCTGTGTAAAAGAGGAGATGAATGCATGTGGAGGAGGACACGCAGATGATTAGTGTGTAAGGAGGAAGGAGGAAGGAGGAAGGACCATACCATAGATTATGAGGAGTGTAATCTGTTTTGTCAGAATCTTAATCTCAGTTTGCCGTTGTTAGAAATCGAACAGTAATTCTTTGCAGTTTCCCAAAGTTTTCTTAGAAAAACAAAACAATTTAAAAAGTGCTCAGAAATGATCAGGCTACTTATAACAGCCTTAAACTCTCGTTAAGGATGCTGTGGGGCATTTACAAGGCCTTGTACCAAACTATTCCTAGAATGTGTATGTGTGTGTGTGTGTGTGTCTATAAAGAGAGCAGCAGTAAACCGGTGAATGCTCCCAGCTGGTCCCAGCACAGCAGCCATCGTCAAACACGAGGGTGAAACATTTTTCAGATGCTCTTGTCTCCCGGGATCAGATCAGATTGATGACCGCTGCACAGCTCAGCGGCTCGGTGGTGATGTGAGACGTCTGTAGTGACACTGCCGCCTTTGTAAAGCCTCACATGTGATGATGACTTTGTCTGCAGCAGCAGCTCAGTGAAAATCTTTCACTTCGCACGCAGAGACAAAATATAACAGTTTCCACACAAGATACGCGCAGGGAATAATAATTTAAAAATATCAGTATTTCTAGATAAACACATGCAACTACATCATTGAAAAAAGAAAGTTAAAGATCTCCTCAATAAATGAATAAAAAGTGCGTCCACTTCAGCGGGAGCCTGTGCAGACTCACCTTGAGCCATGGCTGCTGCAGGTGACTTGAACTGCGTCTCTGTCTGTCTCTGTGTCCAGCGCAGACGGGAATGTTGAGTCTCAGCCTGTGGTTATCTGGCTTTTTATGTAGTCCTGTGTTCGGCACTAACTCAGTCAGTCAGTCAGTGTGATGGTGGGCGTAAAGCGACCCTCCCCCAGTAACAGAGAAATCCTTCTGCCTCCGCAAGTGCGCACTAGAACGAACATCTGTCATCTGGACTGTCTCTGACTCAGTTCGATGGTGGTGATTATCAACATACTCAATGATTAATGGAAAATAAATGAGTGAATTGATGAGTCTGTTAAGCAACTTTGGGCACTGATGGTCATGTCTAATAGTGAAACGAGAGCCAGAGCTCAGGCCAAACCCAGAGAGTGGAAATGAGTGTCTCTGCCAAGACATTTCTGACAGGGTTATACTATATATATATATATATATATATATATATTTCTTTTTCCTTGTAATTCAAAGCTTAAGCAAAAAACCCACAATACATATCTTAGTTTTTATTATATATATTTTTAGTTTAACGATCATAACAGAACAGTTTGAGCTAAAATGTGATTTCTTTTTAAAGCATTATATGGAGCTGAATTTTGGGACTGTATATAATTATCACGTAGGAGTTTCTCAACACTGAGCGTGTGTTTACGTTGCACATTTGGGGAGAAGAATTTTCCAACACCTGCCTGTGTTTACTGTACTTCACTAAGCTTATTTAATGAACCCACTGCTGAATACAGTCATTGACTCTGTTCATCTCACTTCTATTAATAACCTAATGTTTCCAACTGCCTGTAACCCTGAATCCTCAATGAGCTTCTCCTTATTTGCTTATTTTTAGGGATGTCCGATAATATCGGCTCACCGATAATATTGGCTCGATATTAGCAAATTATTTCTAAGAATCGTTATTGGTTTTTCCTCCGAAAATGAAAACCTGATTACACAATGTCTGGGTTTCGTCTGATGATGTGTGGACTAAAATAGTTTTGGAAATAAACGGCTTTATATTAAAGTGAAAGTCACTAGATGGCAGCATTGCAGCTCATTTAAATAATCTCTCACTCATGAAGTGGTTTGTACAGATCAATAATTAGGCCCATATTGGTATCAGTTAGATATCGGAATCGCACATTTTTGGACAATGTTGGATACCGGCAAAAAACTTCATATCAGACATTTTTACATTTGAAATTTCATGAGGAAATAATGATCCAGACTATTTCTGTTTGTGATAAGTTTGAAAAAGAATAAAATAATCTTTATTAAAAAAAAACTCCACATGATGTGCTGCCCACCACACAAGTCGCTGCATCTTATAATGCATTTTTTTTTATTATATTTGATTGTCAAATCAAAGAGATCTGTGCACAGAAACAAGAACCTGTGAAAACAACATCCAGACAAACATTTTAAACTTTTTCAAACGGTGAAGGATCAAAGCAGTTGTGTGGTTGGTTGCACACTGGGCAGATTACTTTTAACTACAAACATGAGTCTTGGCTCCAGAACTGGCCTTTATGTCAGGAAAGTGAGTTTACAGGATAACAGAAGTGAAACGAGAGCCAGAGCTCAGGCCAAACCCAGAGAGTGGAAATGAGTGTCTCTGCCAAGACATTTCTGACAGGGTTATACTATATATATATATATATATATAGATAGATAGATATAGTCTCACTCACGTCACTGGGTAAATAATTCATGTTGTTGACAAACTAACTCCAACATCAAAAATGTGAGACACATTTTTAAAAGTTAATGCTATAGGGAATAAAACTGAAGGACTCACAGCTGGAGGAGTCTTTCTTTTGTGTTTTGGTATTTCTTTTGCTAACTTTTCAAATATTTTCCTTGTTAACCCCCACGACTGTATCTCTGAGTCTGTACCTGTCAGACCTGTAAAGTCTGTGCTCTCAGTCTTATGCACCGTAACTCCAATCAAACTGTCCTAGGACAAATAAAAAAGAAAAGAAAATTCATTTAGGTCTAAACACATCTTTATTTTCTGGGAAATGTCTTCTGCACCAGGTCACCTACGAGGTACTCCTTCACCTCGTACTAGGGTTGAATTCCTGTTCCTTTCAATTTATTTATGTTTTTATTTTTTATTTTTTTCTAAAAGTAAATAGGATCATGCTACTGTGGAGCCAAAGCGTTAACGAGCGATAAAAATGTCCCATATATTCTGTACTAAATGTTGCACTTTTTTTTTATCCTTTGGCTGGGTTTGCGACTTTACTCAGCTGCGACTTATATATTAAAATATATAATTTCACGTTTGTTATTTTCACACTGACTGAGAGGGCACTCTGGACTTGTGTACCAGTATCTGCTACTCCTGTAACACTGAAAATATACATGTTTGTTGTATTCACACTGACAGCAGCTAGCGGGCATTGGTGCGACTTATACTCTGAAGCAACTTATACATGTGTTTTTTTCTGCTTCATTATGCAGTTTTTGGCTGGTGTTTTGGTTATTAAAATCTGAAAAATTTGAAAACCTGAAAAAACCTGTCTCAGAACTTCTTGACTGAGGCTTGTATTAGCCGAAAACTTGAAAACTTGACTGAGGCTTGTATTAGCCAGACCAGGGTAGCCTTAGCCTGAGCCGCTCTTGCTGTGATTAAAACCCTGGTTCAAATATGTCTATGACCATTAGAAAGAATATGTTGTGGAAAAAAGTTTTGAACGTTTTACAAATGTATTCTTTAAATGAAACAATATTGTTGCCGTTCTTTGTTCTTCATTTGTTTTTATCTTGACTAGTATAGACTTATAAACTAAAAGTTTCCACAGTTCAACTTTGCCATGATTCACTGCACGATTGTTGCATCAGAGCAATAGCGTGATTGACTCAAGTGCACATTCAGATGATTAGATGACAAAACTTAACCGTAGGGTAATAAGCATTTCTGAAGAAGCAAAGAACACGTACATTGTGGGACTATTTCTCAGTAGTATTGCAAATTAGAATCCCCCTTCTCTCTGTAAGTGCTGTTATTTATCTTTAATGAAGATGACTGAAAAAACAATAACCAGACACCGGTTACATGGTTCAATTACTTCAAAGCGGTAACACAAGTTTATACAGAATTGTTACGACAGAACTGTACAGAACACAAAGTAACAAAAAAACTACCTCAACTCATATTTAAGAATAATCAATCAAACTGATTTAAACTTCAGTACAATCTGGCATAAGGTTATGATTCAGACAGGCTCGGACATAATGGTTAGATATGAATGAACTTTTGAATGAAAGGCTTGAAGTCTGTTGAGCAATGTCCTGTCAGACAAGAATGTTTTCATGGAAGAGTACATTTACAGACCAGTGAGAGGCAGTATTAAAAAAGTATTTACAGAATAGAAATGTGTCAAAGACTGTACAAACAGAAGGAATGGCTGATGTTCACCTGGTCGCCTTGATCACCTTCAAGATCTGCCAAAAACAAATTCAAAATTAAACATCATTAAACAGCTGATTATAGAAAATAACTAACAAGTAAATTAATAAAAATACTGTAAATTGGTGGGATTGTATCAGGGATCCACTGATTCTGATACCAGTCAGAATTGTACTTGCAACATATCAAACATATGTACCAATCCAGTGACTTCTCAATATAAATACTTAGTATTGCAACAATGTCATTAGTTTGGAGGCATTTAAACCTCAGGTACAAAAGATAATTTGAAGATTCGCCACAGGGATTAATTCACTGATGACATCATAAAAGCTCTGCTCACTTTCTGTTCCGTTAGCAGTGTCAAATATGTTATTTCTATCCAAATTTATTTTCATTTTATTCAAATCTGTTATCTTACAATATAACAATATTGTTATATAATATAATTATCTTCTGTTAATGACAAGATAATACAAGAATTTTCCTGTTTGTTGCTGCTGCTCACACCTGGATGGCAACCCATTACCAGTACCATTTCAGTACTTGGTATTGGCAAGTACACAAATGAAAACACTTGAACGAGATAAGGAAAACACTGATGGAATAAGACTGCACCGTACTCACCGTGTACCATTTTTCTCTCTCTCTCAAACCTCCGTAGATTTTCCGACACTCGTGTTCTGAACCTGAAAGATTTATTTAAAAATTAACAATTTAATATATAAAGTAGATGATTGATAACTGTGACAAAGAACTCCTATGTGACAAGAAAAATCAAAACGAAATACGTATATCAACAGTCTATCTTTCAACCTTTAACTACATGCTACTTCTTTAGCAGATTTAAGGTGCACCTTGCTGCAGGGGAGATTCTTGCTCTCGTTCTCAGGGTTAGTTTGCCCTCGCGATGGTGCGTTATCTGGAGAAGCTGCGGGAGCATTTGGTTCGTGTGAATCTGGAGGAGCTTGTCGTGCCTCTTTCACGGTGATTATGGAGGAGCACACAGAGGAGGTGTCCTCCACCTCCCCTGGGACGGCAGAGTGGTAGCCGTGACTGCAGCTGCTGAAGCCACTTACACTCTCGCCCGACGACTCAGAGCTGTCCACTGGACACAGACAAAGACAAAGAGACGGTCATTTAAAAAACAACACCTCATATTTATAACCCATAGCTTTAAAGTTGGGTTTTACTCACATATTAAGTTCTGACTCCCACTCTCCTGGTCCAGATCGTCTTCCAGAGCTCCAGGGGGCGACACGTAACCAGCAAGCACCCCTATGTTTACCCTGTGCTTTGGTCCACACCTGTAGCCCATAGGGGTCACTGCACTTCCTCCAGAGGAAGAGGATGAAGCTGAGCTGCTTCCTGAACCAAGAGATTTTGGACGCCCCCCTGACTTCCCGTTATTCTCCACATATGATCCTCCTAGAGAAAGTGCTTTGTTTTCTGCAGAGACAGAGCATGAATACGTTTTATCAACATAAACGTAACAAAAAAATATTAAAATTATGGTTGTGTGATAATATCGACTGACTGATATTAGCATATTTATGTAATATCTGTAAGAACCATTATCATTTTTTCCTACGATAATGAAAACCTGATAACGCAATGCTTGCGTTTCGCCAGATGATGTGTGTGCCCTAAAAATTGTTTTGGGGAGAAATAGCTGTATATTAAAGTGAAAGTCACTAGATGGCAGCATTACAGCTCATTTAATTCATCTCATACTCGTAGAG